AATATTTACTATTTATATGCATGAATTTAATGCTTAAAATAAGATATTTAAGTTATGAGTTAGTTGAATCGTTTTATAACCTATGATTGATTCACATAATTATAAGACCACAAAGCGAAACTATCTAGAGTGATAAGTATTATTTATTATTATTTATTTTAATTTATATTATCTTTTTTTTTTTTATTTTTTTTATGTAATTAACTTTTTTAATTTAGGTTTTCATCAACCGTTACTTTATATATAACATATTGCACATGCCAATTTTTATACAGAACTGGTAAACTTAGAATTAATTATACTTACTAATTCAAATGTGCAAATACAATAAAAATTAAATTAACCTATTTATAAACTTGAACAGGTTATTTTAACATTTAGCAAATATTTATTATACTAATTTAGCAAATATTCTTTATATATACAATATTTATACTATATATATTCAAATAAGCTCTTAGCATAATTACTGCCCAAAATTAATAATATAAATGATCACCATTATTATTATAGACTTCTTTGATATAGTCTACTTCACTTTCAACAAGATGTTTAAAATAATTTTGAGACAATGCTTCTCATTCTTCTTTAACCATTCTTTCAAGCTTATTAAGGTTTCCGGGTCTTGGACGACGTTTTCGAAGCTTCTCTTCAATCTCAGACCAAAGATTCTTAATAGGATTAAGGTCTGGGCTACATGGAGACCATTTAAATGTTTTAATATGCTTATTAGCTAGATAGTTTTTAACAATATTGCCTCTATGAGTTGAGGCACCATCATGTTGAAATATCTCATTACTATTGGGATATTGGTCCTGAAGCTTCAGAATGGCATAACGAATAAGCGTTCTACGATAGGATTCGCTTGTGACACTACTGTAAAGATGGATAAAAGGGCTGAGACCCCACCAAGAAAAACATCCTCACATCATAATCTCTTTAGATTTGATAGCTGGAACAAGACAATCATCATTAAATTCTTCACCTGGCCTCCTCCATACATGCTGATATGGATTAGAATGGACTAAAGTAAAATACTTTTCATCTGACCAGAGAACATTTTTCCAGTCAGTAGTTGTCCAATTAAGATGCTTTTCTGCCCAATCTTTATGCTCTTTTTTAGTCTTATCACTAATAAAAGGCTTTACATGGGCAACACGTGAGACCAGGTTAGCTTTGCAAAGAGTACGACTAATAGTTCTTTAAGAAATTATCTAAAACATATAAAATTTTAAAAAATAAAAAAAAATAAAATAAATAATTTAAATTAAAAATTATTATTATTTCGCCTTCTTGCTGTTCTAATGCAGCTTGAATTTGTTTTTTAGTTATACAGCGATTACTTAAAACAAGTTCTGATAAACAATCTTGTGCCATTTCGTCTATGATTGGTAGTCTTCCTCTACGATTCGATAATATTTGAGATGGGTTTTCAAGTCTGTTTAGCACATTTCCAACTGTCTTGGGATCACATCTGACAAGTTTGACAATTTGTCTATACGACTTGCCTAATTTTCAAGCAGATATAATTTCTTCACATTTCCTTTTAGTGAGTATCATGATTTAAAGCTATAAAAGTACTTCAATGAAATATATTTATATTTGTCAAATATCTAATTAATAATTATGATTAATTTATTTAGCTTGGTTAAAAAAAAAACTTACCAAATAATTACAGTATAAACATGCAATAAGATTTGTAAATTATGTGTGTGGCATTAGAGTATTCAAAAATACTAGTAAATCAATTATTAATTAGGGTCGCATATGATAAAAATCTGACTTTACTGCGGATAATATCAGCTTTCTGTATGCTTTTTTCTTGAGCTAGTATAATAATAATTAATGTCTAATTTTTTTAAAAAGATAGAGCAAATTGTATACTTTAATGTAACAGAGCCATTTTTTTTCAATTTACACTATTTTATAGTATAAATAGTGTTAATCAAAAAAAAGGCTTTGTTCATTAGTGTATACGATTTGCTCTATCTTTTTTTTTTAAAAAAAATTAGAGATTAATTATTGTACTAGCTCAAGAGAAAAGTGTACCGATAGTTGATACTATTTGCAGTAAATTCAGATTTTCATAAAAAATTTATTATATTAATGCGACCCTGAGTAATGTTTGATTTACTAGAATTTTAAACACCCTAATGCAGCATATATAAATTACAATAAAAAATATAATTTTAATAAAACTTAAATTTTTAAGTACTATAATTATTCAATTACAAATTTACGTATAAGTTCACTATCCTATATATAGAATTCTAAGTTCAAGCGCTCTACTCAATTCGTTCTTTCAGGACTATATCAAAAAACTCATAACCTTTTTATATTTATTTTATATTTCTATATTTAATATACTATTTCATTGCAGTTTAACATACGTTGTGAGGGGCTCCGGTCATCCGACCCTACAATTTTTTATTTTTTTTATTTATTATTATCTATATTTTATTATTAGTATTAGTATTATCAAATATATATTACTTAGCTTAGTTATCTGGGGGCTCCTTCTCCTGGATCAAATCGATAAGTCAGATAAATTCTCTTTAGCGAATTTATCTGCTTAATCCACCTTAATCACCTTAGTGGATATAGTGAATTTATTCGCTTTAGCGAATAAATTCAAGAGAAAGTTGTATATTTTAAACCCTGTAAAAATATATAAAAAGCAGAGCCGCTCTTGCTCTAAAAAGAAGAATAAAACTGAGTTGAGTAATGCTTCAAAATAAATAACGGTAGAAGTGCTCCAGTAGTTTTATACTTATCTTGTTCCTCATAAAAAATCATTCGAATAGAAATATACACTGATCTAGTTATAATTGATAAACTGTTAAGAGTCTTAACCTTTGAAATTTGAGTGGAAGTGTCTCTAAGTTCCCTAAAAATGATATCAACACAAGCCGAATTCGTGTTTTCTTGTTTCTGTGATTTCCTCTATACTTAAGTTAGAGAGAGAAAGAGAGTTAATTAAAAACCCAAAAATCTTTTTTATAATAAAATATAATTAATCAAGCTTTGATCAAACATTATTGTTAACTCAAATCGGCTGTAAATTGAAATTACAACTATACTTTGTAACCACGTGATCCACGTAATGATCGTTAAGAATCTTAACAATCGAAGTAGAATACTACAGCCCGACACACTAAAAATTTGAGCCAAGAAACCACTTTTAGCTTCCTCTAGAAGTTTATCAAATACTGCTATAAGCACAAGACCAAGGTATACTTATCTTAGCCTCCAAATACGCCGCAGCAAGACTCAACAAGACTTAGAGACTCGGACCAAGTCTCTCCGCGCCTCTTTTTGCCTGCCAAATCGAAGTCTTTAGGGTCTTCGAACAGAAGATTAGAAGTTGTAGTGTGTAGATTTAGCTAGATTTAGCTTTAAAACCATTAAGTCACCCCTTTTCAATGTACTACTAATAACTTTGTTTAATTTATTTATAATTTAATATACTACTATATCTAAGTTATTTCGCACTTTAACATAATACTAAAAATTAAATTATTTTGTTATAATACTATAAAAATTAAATTATTTATACTTTAATATACTAATTACTAACTTATTCGACTCTATTATTTATTAGTTTTTACAAGTCAAATATATAGGCCGAATCAAGTTAATAATATTGAGAGTAAATACATAACATTGATGTAGTTAACCTATGGGTTGACTACCCAATTCAACTGGGCCAGAATACTACGTGATATTAAAGTTAACTAGAAGGATTCTGAATCTATATTTTCTATAGTATGGCGAAATATAAAGAAAAAGAATAAAAAAAAGTACCTAATAAAAGACTATGAGATTATAAAGTACATGTAAATGAATCAAGTATACTTTAACGATTGTGTCACATGATAATTGTGACAATTGCTGACAAAAATCGTGGCAAATTTAACAGTGAAATTTTACCTCGATTATCTCGGCTTCTAGTAATTAAAATTGAGCGAATTTTTTTTTATTTAAAAGCACCATGTCTCCTCTACAAAATAAAAAAAAAAAATAGCAAGTCCATAACTGGTTGCCGAAATAATTGAGATATATGATGATAAATAAAATTTGATATATTATGGTAGATTATTTGACTTATCTTTGCAACTAGTAATTAGATTTAGCCAAATTTTTTTTATGTTGTAGAAAAAGTGCATATCTATTATATAAAATAAAAATTGTTAATTTTAGATTAATAATCATTGAGAAAATTAGCTTAGAAATT